TGATCCTAAAAGTTCTGTTTAGGAGGTGCTTCATTGTAATTGTGGCATGGTGGAAACTGGTCTGCCCTAGTAATGCCCTGTCCCAAATTTTACAGTGTTATTTTACTGCTTTCCCTGCAGGACAACCACATTTCCAGAATAGCATCTTGCAAATCCAGAAATGTCTGTCCAAAGAGACCCAAAGGTCATTTTATTTTTGGAGGTATATGTTAGCTGTTAAATGTCTCAGAGAGAGACTGATTGCAATGCGGCAGTGTGGATCCCATTTACAGTTATTCTATGGCACATGCATCCGTTTCAAGAGATATGTTTATTCCAGGTATTAATGGATATCTGAAACCTGTCAGACTGACATCACATGAATCACTAAATGGAATGGGTTAAATAAGCCGAAGAAACCTCTAGATTGGAATTCTGGACAGAAGAAATGTTGGCAAAACGGACCAATGTTTTCCACTCCCTCTGGTCATCCCCCACCTCCCTCAAACCTGGATAATGGCAATTTTATGGCCAATATGGATCAGAATTGGCAACTTTTCAATTCAATTTGTAATAGGCATAGCGCTACAATATCAACAGCACTTTTAGTGCACTGTGTAAGAAGAGGCAGTTGTTAACAATCTCTGGAAATCTCTAAGAAACTAGAATGCTAGAATGGGAATGAATAAAAATGGAAGTGGTGACTTTTCTATAGCAGGGGCAGTGCAGGGAAATCTTTATTCTGTACTAAGCAAGCCCTTCATGATCTTGGGTTATTGTATGCTGCCTGCAGACACCAGACAAAATATTCAGATTTGTTACAGAAAAAAAGTATTAATTGTACTAGTCTGTCATTGAACATCATTTTTGCAATGCACTATGTTGAAAGAAGTATATGTTAACAATTTTGTGGAAAACCAACCTTGGTATTTGGAAATGTCTGAAACAGTTACCATACCACAATACATCCCAACTTTCTGTGGAATATTGGCAAGACATCTAAACAAAAAAAAGCAATGTTTGGCACGTATCCCAAACAGATAATGTAGGTTTTGATCTTGTTTAAAAAAATGGAATTGGTGCAGAAATTTATACATCACACAAAACTATCTCTTCCTCAGTACTCGACTAGAATTATGGAGAACTATCATCAGAATTCTTTGACAATTGTGATTATGAACTTGATTAATTTCATAGTGAAATATTATTCTCAGTCAACATGAGGCAAATGGCAGAGAAAATATGCTGATATACAGTAATATGAATAGAATTCAGCCTCTTGGCTCCGCCAAAGTGTCAGTTAGTTAATTGCACTGTCCATTTCAGCCATTTATTGAATAAATAGAACAGTTATAACACAGTCATCATGACAGACTCTCCTTCTCAACATCTCCTTTCACTTGAGGTGTGGAGAACCTGAGGTTAAAGCACCACCAGTCAACTCCTTCTAATGAGAAATCAGCCCTACTTTCTGGAAGGACTGTGCGACTTTACTTCTTTATAGCACAAAAGAAGCCATTTGGAATGTTGTTTTGCTGCCGGCTGTCTACACAAGGAACACATCTGGTCCCACTCCCCCGCATTTTTCCCAGAGCCCTGCAAGTTTCTATTCAGGCACTTATTAAATTCTGTTTTGAAAGTGCTGATTGAATTCATCCCCACCAAACTCAGGCAGTGCATTTCCAGATTCTAATCACTTGCTGGTTAAAAACAAGGTTTTGTTCTCATGTTATTGCCATTGGTTATTCAGTCAATTGCCTTAAATTGGTGTCCTCTGGTTTTTGACTTTTGGAGTCATAGAGTCATGGAGTTATACAGCGTGGAAACAGGCCCTTCAGTTCAACTTGTCCATGCTGACCAAGGCTGCCTTCCTGCTCCCATGATGCTGCTTGGCCTGCTGTGTTCATCCAGCTCAACACCTTGTTATCTCAGATTTTCCAGCATCTGCAGTTCCTACTATCCCTTCTCCTTCTGTTACCAGGAAGGGAAATTCAGAACATGACACTATCATTTATCACCTCCTAGTGGCAGGTTGCAACACTTGCAGAGGACTTCTTATTTGCTTGGTCAGGCAATGATTTTCCCAGACACTTACAAGGACTTGCAGAAACAAGATGGTTAGAATCTTGCCAGATAGAAAAAAGGTTATGTGCTTTATTTCTCATCAGCTCAAAAACATAGGAATAGAGTAGGAATCCTAATAAACATTAGATACATGAGATTAATTCAATGCCCGACCTTAGAAAAAAAGTGATCAAAAGAAAAATTTTGAACTAGTTGCCTTACAAGTTTATGCCCCAGCACAAGGTCAGAGTTAGCAGGAAATAGAGGTATTTTATGGTGAAATCCTGAAGTAATATGATCAAATTAGCAGGTGCATTTGGGACACCCGTCATCAACTTGGGAATGTCAAACCAGAAGAGAGACGGTAAACCCTGGCATGGAAACCTCAAATTCCTAAAACAGAGTGGTTAACATTATCTGTATGGACTTCAGCAAGGCGTTTGACAAGATTTTGCGTGGTAGACTGGTTAGCAAGGTTAGATCACACAGAATCCAGGGATACCCAATTGGATACAAAATTGGCTTGAAGGTAGGAGACAGAGGGTGGTGGTAGAGGGTTGTCTTTTAGACAGGAGGCCTGTGACCAGCAGCGTGCCGCAAGGATTTCTGCTGGGTCCACTGCTTTTTATCAATTATATAAATGATTTGCATGTGAATATAAGAGGTATGATTAGTACTTTTTTTACTCAGAAAGCAGTTAGTGTGTAGAACGAACTGCCAGAGGAAGTGATGAATGCAGGTACAATTACAACTTTTAAAAGACATTTGGATAGGCATATGAATAGGAAAGATTTAGAGGGATATGGGCCAAACACAGGCAAGTGGGACCAGTTTCGCTTGGGAACATGGTCGATTTGGACTAATTTGACCGAATAGTCTGATTCTATGCTGTATGACTTTATGAGTTTAATTAAGTTTAATTAATTTGTGGTAATTATAACAGGTGCCTTAAATGCTAAAATGACTAAAGGAACATTGCAAAGCGAGTTTATTTCGAGGGACTTTTACTGAGAAATGAAAGAGGAAAAAGACAGATACAATTTTGTCCAGAAACTTATTTGATGGTAGCAAACAGTTTATTTAAGCAACCAAAGTAAATACCGTACACTCGGGGAAGTCTATGCAACATGCATAGAATCCAATTAGATTGTGTGAGAGTGGAACAACATTTTAGAAAGATTATGAGAAACATTTATACCTACCCTGGCACAAATACAAATTTAGATCATTGTAAACAAGTTAAAAATAAAAATACCAAAAAAGAAACAGATGTAACAAAAACAGAAGTTGCTGGAAGCTCAGCAGGTCTGGCAGCATCTGTGAAGAAAACATCAGAGTT